CCCCCCCCCCCAAAAACAAAACAAGGCCAAAAAAAGAAAAAAACATACCCCATACCGCACCCACAACCCCTCCAACCCCCTCACATCCCCCGGAACCCCACTAGCCAGACCACTCCACACACTCCCCTCCACATTCCCCTCATACATACCCTCCCAGGCCGCCGCTGGTGCCGTTTCACGGAAATCAATAGACTCATAGACACCATTCGGGCCTCGGACGAGCATGAAGCCGCCGCCGCCGATGCCCGAATGTTGCGGGGAGACGACGCCGACGCAGAGGGTTGTTGCGACCATGGCGTCGGCTGCGTTGCCCTGGGGGGTGTTAGTACGTGTGTGTGTGTGTGAGTGAGAGAGAGGCAGAGGGGGAGAGGGGGAGAGAGAGGGAGAGATGGGGTATAGAGAAAGAGGAAAGAGGAAAGGATAGGGGGACATACCCCTCTCTTCAAGATATCAATTCCAATCTCACTACACAGGTGACTTTCACTCGAGACCGCGCCATGAGTATCGTTCTCTGGTGCCACACTTCTTACACAGGAAGTCAGGGCCAGACCAAGAGTGAGAAGGGATGTTCTCCGTTTGGAGAGCCATATCGGATCTATTATCTTGTTAGTTCTCATTCTCTTCTCTTCTTCTTCTTATTCCCGCCCTTGTGTTCTCATTCCAGGATTGGATTAGGGAGACGTACTCATTGCGAGGTCAAGTTCACGTGCTTATCAATGACGGGAGTGAGCGTCGGGTACAGTATCGTGATTTCAAATCCAAATCAAAAAGAAAGGCCCCTCAAAAGCCCGCCAAAAAATCAATAAACCGTAAACCGTAGATCTCCTCACCAACACTACTCAAACAAACAAATATGCAGTATTCGTGCTAAGAACTTGCACTCAAAATACCAATCCAGATCCAGTGATTTGATTCACCGCCACCGCCTTACAATGGAAGGCGTGATCATGACTCGTGATGTCTTCTTGTTTCAAGAGGATGATGACTAACCAATCAAATCGAATTCATGGAGACGATAAGATAAGCGAACAAAACCTCAATAGAAAGAGAAAAGGGTTTCGAGATGAAAGTCTTTTTTTGAGAAGCCGTTTATTCAGATATATGTGCACTTTCAAGTATATTATCCACAAGCTTGTCATCGGATGTGATTTGTTTAGTTCAAGCTCGGGAGTAAATGGTGTTAGATATGAAGCCGACGACAATAATGAAGGGACGGATCAAATACTGTAGACCATAAGGAGAATTGCTGGTCTAGGTGCAGTTTCTACAGATGCTTAACAGATGACCAATTAAATTTAATCCTTATATAGTAGTTAAACCTTTTTTGGCGCTTAGGTGATAGCTAAGCTTTTTAACTATTAAAAAGCGTCAGCTCTTAAGCAAGCTTGGCTCTTAAATAATAATTGGCTACCAACCCCCTTAGCTCTTAGTAATACCTTAATAATCATGGGTCTTATAGCCTACAAAGAGAGTACACGGTAGCTAGGAAAACTCTATAATACTACGTTATAGCGTGCCGGGGTACTTTTTACGCTTAGTATCGCACGTATACGATGTGCACTAACGTATCAAAATTGTAGGTTATAGATTCAATCGATTCAGCTAAAGTTAATGCGCGCGTGTGACTGCTAGCTCTGGTGTGGTGATGGTAGTGATGATAGTAGTGGTACTATCGGTATTAATAGTAAGGTACTACAGTGCGGGGAGCTTTCCCGTGGGCGCCAGGTGCTTCTCAGTAGCACGCTAGAACCTCTTAAGAACACATAGTTTTAACTCTTAAATCAGTAGCTTAAAACCCAAGAGAAGAATTTAACTATTAAGCAAGACTTAGCTCTCAAAAGTCCTTAGCGCTTAAAAGTCTACGTAATTATCTCTAATATTCTTAACAGCCTAATTATTAAAGCGTTTTGACCCTCGTCTGACCATCTGTAGAAACTGGACTTAGACCAGGGTTTTCCCTTAAGGGACAATATTCTCTCCAAACCGAGTGACACTATTGTCCAAGGACAAATCTCAAATCAAATAACAAAAGAATCAACGGGCCCAGGATGGGTGAAGAACACCCGTTACATTACATGCTAGTATACATATATCTCACACAGGAAAGTGGTATCAAGTATCTACAATTAATCTAAGCTATCAACAACCATGTTTTTCTAAACGTAAAGCAACCAATTGTTCCATATTCGGAATCCACCCTTTTACAAACTCCTCTTCTGTGAATCTCTTTGCAGACTGTCGCGCTCTTTTTCTCATGGCCAATTTATCAGGTAGGGCAAGAGCTTGCTCAAACCCGTTCGCAAATTCAGTAGATGTTGTTGCGTGGAAGCCTAGAAATAGTAAGTAACAGAAGGGAGGGAATTTCGATAGAGATGGGAACAATTAACTTACCAGTTGGCTTCCCATCAATCTCAGTAACGATATCAAGTTTTGGTCCACCGCTGTTATGAACAACGCAAATGAGACCGGCAGCTTGATATTCCACCACTCCAATACCAAAATGTTCATTCCACATCCCGTTTACACCAATACTGGATACCCGCAGCCAATCTTCAAGTCCTCCTGGACCTTTGAAAGGCACATCTAAATGAAATTCGACACTTTCTTTAATTTGTAATTCATTTGCTAAAAGTCGTAATTCATAGACTCGTTTCGAATCAGCATCGTCTCGCACACTACCAACAAGGATAAGTTTTGCGCCTTTCGTTGCTGGTGTCTTGGTAGCCATAAATTCGGCAAAAGCAGACAGTATGAGTTTGTGGTTCTTTTCCGGTCGGAATTGTCCAACGTACAGGAGAGCCTTTTGACGCTCCTTTTCACTCTCGGGTGTAACGTGAATATTTTGCTCTATCCAGTCAACATTGACAGGTGGTAACAATTTTACCGCAGCAGGCTTCTTCAGCGCGTTTCTTCTTGGACCCCACAAAGTGGTGATATGCGCTTGAGTCCATGTTGAATTGGTCATTACCACGTCAATGGAAGAGCCAACCAAAGAGTATGTCCAGGCAAAACCTCTCCAGTACATCTTCTTTCCTTTGCCCCACCAGCCAGCACCTTTCCCTGCATTGACTCCAAAGTTGCCAGTGGGGGAGTCTGCATCCAGAGACCCCAACATATCGGAAGATATGATAGGATAGTGAACATAAGCTCCTGTTGGTACGTCCTTGAACAAGAACTTGCACAGCCAGAGAGCGAATGCATAACCCATCGTATCCACGAAAATGTCTGGCGGGAGAAGCGAGAAGGCGTCCCATGCCAGTACTAACGATCCCAATGATTGGCCTGCAAGTGTAGCAACCGGCCATGAAGAAGGTAGGACCCAATCGCGAGTGGTGAGGTAAAGGAAAAGGATGGTGGGGGAATGGAGTTGAATATCGAAGCCGGTCTGCGAAGCATGTTAGCGGCGCAAGACGGAGATTGACCATTGACTCGATGCATACCTTGACTCTATCTAAAATCTCTTCTTTGGCAACCTCATGATCGCCAGTATATACAATGCACTTGGCCTTGGGCCATCGCTGCTGGGTTGCTCTGATGGCAGCCCAAAGCACTCGCTCACCCCCACCACCCGCATTACTGAGTAGATTTTAGTATACTTAAATTAGCAGCAACATGTCCCCATACGCACCAGAAAGGGTGGAAGAAACCCACAATCCCGTCCCAGTGTCGGTCGGCCGGGCTTGCGCCCTTGGACGCGCCCGAGGGAGCTTCCACATAATCCCACTCGTCGCTGTCCCTTCTCCCGTTCTTGGACGCATAATCCTTTTCCTCGCTCGCCATCAACTCCAGGATCTGAGCTCTCCGTCCAGCGGTCTTCTGCGTCAGATAGTAGCTTAGAGCCCGGCCAGCCATGGCGGGACCCAGAAAGTAGAGCACACCCAGGATGGATAGCATCGTCGCCATGGATTTGGGGTTCAACCCAAACGTCGCATGTTGGTTGCAATCCGACAATCCACAGGACTCGGCCATCTTGCTGACGGAAGAAGCGAGAGTGAGGGGTGGAGGAGTGGAGGGGTTCCGGGTGATTCTGGTGCAGTCACGTCGTGTCGGAAGTCGCGACTGTGTCCCTTGATGCCATTGTCATTTTGGGGGGACGGAGCTGGAGAGCGGGTAAGGACACTGTACTGTAGGTACCGAGTACAGCAGATGAGACACGCCGGCAAGGTCCCGAAGCTCTAGGAAGGCTGCAGGTGCCCTATGATTTTCCAGGTTGGCGATTGACCCCATCAACACCATCCGCACCACCGATTCAACTCTTCACCTGCCATGGCGACCATGCGAGCCTCAATTGATGCATCTTGCGGATGAACGGTCGATCCTCTCATCATACCAGATTCAGACTCGGACAATCACCGGATTCAGAGACATCTCCGTCGTCCACAATGTCAATCGCGATTGCGACCCTCTCGAGGGGGAGGGCAGCCCTTCGACCCAAGCCCAAGTGGTCCAATGCGAATGCGAATGCCTTCCTCCAGTCACCACCCACCTCCCGTGCATTCCATGCATCCCCGCGACCGAGATTCCTGGAGACGTTCATTGCACCTACACACACTCTGTTTGAAGGAGTCCACTCATTAACCGGTCTCCCATGGGCTTATTCCATTCCCCTCACAGCCATCGTCATTCGAAGCTTCATCACCCTCCCCATCTCGATGTACACCCGTCGCATACAGCAGAGACGGGCCGAGCGATTACCACTTCTCAGCGCATGGACAATTAGACTGCACCGTGAGGTGATGGCTCAATCGGGGCACTTGGGTCCAGCCGCAGCGCAGGCGGCTCTATTCAAAAAACTTGGAAAGCAGAGGGCCGAGATGTTACAGCGAGCGGGCATTGAGACTTGGAAAATTTTCCTGCCAGTTCTACAACTACCAGTATTCTTGATTGTCATTGAGACGCTGCGTATGATGTCAGGCACGGATATTGGTCTCTTGGGTACTCTGGTTTCCAGTTTTGGCAGCTCCTATTCAATTCCATTCCTATCGGCAATAAGTTCCCTGACGGCATGGTACGAGCCAACTTTAGCAACAGAAGGCATGATGTGGTTCAAAGATCTCACCGCGGCGGATCCCGAGGGAAGATTATCATATATTCTCTCCGGAGCTATGCTTATGAACGTCTTGCATTTCGGGAAGCACGAGGCTGAGAAGCTCCCTTTACCTGTGGGGGTTCAGAGGCTCAATAGATCTCTGGTTGTCATATGCTGCCTCATTGGACCGCTTCTTTCATCAACCCCGAGTGGGATCTTGATTTATTGGATATCATCTAGTGTGTGTTCTAAGATTCAGGCGAGTGTGCTTGCTAGAACGATGCCTGTAAGAATCATAGCACCGTGCAAACCAAGGAGCTTTCAGGGTATTCGAAGCTCTATGGCGAATCTTCTCAAATGAGGGAAGTCTGAGCTGTATGCTACGGGCACAATAATCAAGTCTGTTTTTGCTTTGCATGACATATTTTTGGGTGAAATGTTCTAAAATAACTTATTATGTTACCAGATCTTCTTGCTTTCTGGTTTTGACTCTGGATTCCATCTTCTTGAAAATAAAGACGACATGTAACAGTTTATTCCAACTTTCTCTCCGCCTATGACTTCTCTCTTTTCTCTAGCGAGATCTCACAATAACCCTAGTACTCTCCCTATCTAGACCACTGCGATTGCTGTTAGTTGATTTATACATCTACTTTTATATAAATAGAGTCTGGCTGCCGTCGTTTAGGGGGTATGGTGGTTCTGCTGGTGTAAAGTTAGTGCGAGTGGTTCGTAGTGTTTTTGGTATTTGGGGAAACTTGGTTGTGGCCCATGGTGGGATGTTGGGAGTGAGGGATGGGTAGATGATGATGGATGTGATGTTGTGTAGAATGGTCTAGAGGTAAAATCGCATTAGTTCTTAGTCTTCTTACGTTATTTTAGATCTTAGGTTGTGGGTGAGGTGTTGGGAATTCCGTAAAGGACGAATGGGTAATAATAGTCTGAGGGAATATAAAATTACATAGAATGGAGTATCTGGTTGGTTGTTTATGGGATTTTGGGGTGTTTTTGTTGATTTGAAGCAAGCGATTTGTGATAACCGAGGAATCAAGGGGGGGGCTTGGACTTGTGTGGTACTTGACGGGGAAAAATATTAGTATTCCGCGTTGGTTATGAGTGTTGTAGATGAGGAACGAATCATTCTACGCTGGATGACTAGAAAGATTTGGGCTGTTTGATTGATGTAAAATGAATCGAACAGAGATGACAAGTTTCGTGCCGCTTGTCTTGTACTCTTCCTACTATCTGGCTTGGACCCAAAGCACAAACCATGAACAGATCTTCTAAGGTTTCAGGGTCTAGTTCTATGAGCGTGTCATCCCTGAATCATCCCTTCTAATTATTTTCATCCATCTAGGAAATTGGAGCATCCAGAAACGAAGCATAAAAATAGTGAATTGTGGGGTGACAAACAGAGTAAACATGGAGTAAGTACAGGTAAAGGATCTGATAAGATTACGGAGATTACAACAAACAAGAACCGATAGGCTAGGACGGGAAAAGATGTCTGACCAATCATGAGTCATTTCCCCCTCTATTGACAGAAAATCCTGGTTGGAGGTTGGGTGCACATGTGGGCTTTGAAGGCTGATTGTCAAGGCGTGAATCCCGTTCTTTGTGCTGGAGAAAGCGGCGAGGGAACTTTCTTTTTGCTTGTCGTAATGAAAGTTGACATGGAATTGTAAAATGTGTATGATAGCAATTGGGTTCTCAAAGATGATACTAGAAGTGACGAGGATTTTTGTACGGAATCAGGTTGTTGAACAACACGGAAGGGGTTATGGAGTTCATACTTTTTGGTTGCCGCCAAGTAGTTGTATTGCTACGTCTACAAGTATTTGGTCCACTTCACTAGAAAGAAAAAAGAATTTCATAGTTCTGAAAAACCGAGAATAAATGGATTTGGACACTGCAAAAGACAGACCTTTTAGATGCAATTAAGCAGCTTACCAATTAACAATTCTATCACTTTTCTACCAGTGCTGGGATAACTCTGGTGCCGCTCTGCTGTTGCACCATCGGCTTTAAGCGGAAGTGGTTTTCAGGGGTGTCGCGTTGCCTCGACACGCTAAGACGCAAGAACGCGTCCCCGGTTCAAGTGATCCATAAGAAAAAGCATTCCTCCTTCAAATCCACACCTCCCATCTTCCAAACAACCTCAACCTCCACCTCCACCTCCAACCCCTCCTTTCTACTACAACTCTATCGTGTTGGGCATCAATACAGCTCTTACGATACATAATACACTCCACGAAACTTTTGGAACTTGGTCTACCGTCATTCTTCATCAACCCCTCTTTTCCGATACCTTAGCAACCACACATCGCCATCATGTTCGTGTGGAAACGCGGTATGTCCTCTGCCACAACAAAGGCAACAAATATCTAATGAATGGCCAGATGGACGTAAGGAGCGTGTCCAGTTCGACAAGATCACAGCTCGTGTCTCTCGACTGTGTTATGGCCTTGACGCCGACCATGTCGATGCCGCAGCAATCACACAAAAAGTCATCTCTGGTGTCTACCAAGGTGTCACCACAATAGAGCTCGATAATCTGGTATGTCCCGAGTCTCCTACATTGAGCTTCCCTTGCTGACACCTATTGAAAGGCTGCAGAGACCGCTGCATACATGACCGTCACTCATCCCGATTATGCCATCCTCGCTGCAAGAATTGCAGTTTCCAACCTCCATAAGCAGACCAAGAAGCAATTCTCGACCGTGATTTCCGACTTATACCACTATGTCAATCCTCGAAACAAGAGAGAGTCACCCATGATCAGCAAAGCAACATATGAGTGTGTCATGAAGCATGAGGCCGAGCTCAACTCTGCCATTGTGTACGACCGTGATTTCAACTACCAATACTTCGGTTTCAAGACCCTCGAGCGATCATATCTACTCCGTCTTGATGGCAAGATCTGTGAACGTCCACAACATATGATTATGCGTGTTGCTGTTGGTATTCACGGTGATAATATTGAGGCTGCCATTGAAACCTACAACTTAATGTCCAGCAAATACTTCACCCACGCCTCTCCAACACTTTTTGCTGCCGGTACTCCACAAGCACAACTCTCATCATGCTTTCTTATCGACATGAAGGAGGACAGCATTGATGGTATTTATGACACTTTGAAGACTTGCGCTATGATTTCTAAGAACGCTGGTGGTATCGGTCTTAATGTCCATAGAATCCGTGCCACTGGAGCCTACATTGCTGGTACAAACGGAAACTCCAACGGAATCGTTCCTATGCTTCGAGTGTTCAACAACACCGCCCGATACGTTGATCAGGGTGGCAACAAGCGTCCTGGTGCTTTTGCCATCTACCTTGAGCCATGGCACGCTGATGTCTTTGAGTTCCTCGACCTTAGAAAGAACCACGGAAAGGAAGAGGTCCGTGCCCGTGATCTATTCTATGCTCTCTGGATTCCAGATTTGTTCATGAAGCGTGTTGAAAAGAACCTTGACTGGACATTGATGTGCCCTAACGAGTGTCCTGGTTTGGCTGACGTTTACGGTGATGAGTTTGAGGCTTTGTATGAGAAATACGAGGCTGAGAACATGGGCCGTAAGACCGTCAAGGCTCAAAAGCTTTGGTACTCTATCCTCGAAGCTCAGACCGAGACAGGAAACCCTTTCATGCTCTACAAGGATGCCTGCAACCGAAAGAGCAACCAGAAGAACCTTGGTACCATCCGAAGCTCCAACCTGTGCACGGAGATTGTTGAGTACTGTGCACCAGATGAAGTCGCTGTTTGCAATTTGGCATCACTTGCTCTTCCAACATATGTTGATGAAAAGACCGCCACTTATGACTTCCAGAAGCTTCACGAGGTCTGCCAAGTTGTTGTCAAGAATTTGAACAAGATCATTGATATCAACTACTACCCAGTTCCAGAAGCAAGAAAGAGCAATTTCCGTCACAGACCCATTGCTCTTGGTGTTCAAGGTCTTGCTGATGCTTTCTTGGCACTTCGTCTTCCTTTCGAGTCGCCAGAGGCTAAGCACCTCAACATCCAAATTTTTGAGACAATCTATCACGCTGCTCTGACTGCATCGGTCGAGTTGGCCAAGACCCACGGAACATATGAGACATATGAAGGTTCACCAGCCTCCAAGGGCGAGCTTCAATATGACATGTGGGGCAAGACACCAACCGACCTTTGGGACTGGGCTAGCTTGAAGCAACAGATTGCTCAACACGGTCTTCGCAACAGTTTGCTCGTTGCTCCTATGCCAACTGCTAGTACCAGTCAAATTCTTGGATTCAACGAATGCTTCGAGCCATACACCTCCAATATTTACTCACGACGTGTTCTTGCCGGAGAGTTCCAAGTTGTCAACCCATGGCTTCTGAAGGATCTTGTTGATATGGGACTTTGGTCTGACAACATGAAGAACCGAATCATTGCTGATGGCGGATCAATCCAAAACGTTCCAAACATCCCAGCTGATATCAAGGCTCTTTACAAGACCGTTTGGGAGATCTCACAACGTACTATCGTCCAGATGGCTGCTGATCGAGGTGCATTCATTGATCAATCTCAATCAATGAACATCCACATGAAGGACCCAACCATGGGTAAGATCACCAGTATGCATTTCGCAGGTTGGAAGTTGGGCCTCAAGACTGGAATGTACTATCTTCGAACCATGGCTGCCTCAGCACCAATTCAATTCACCGTTGACCAAGAGGCCCTTCTTGTCGCTGATACCAACGTTGCTCGCGAACGTCTCCGAAACAAGCGAGGCCCTTCAGCCAGTGATAACTCGGAATCAGGCACCCCTCGTCCAATGTACATTAAGCAGAAAACCAACACCAACACCACGAACGGCGTTCCCACCCCGTCTACCACACCACCTCCAGCCTCGGAAAACAAGAAGTTCTCTCCTGCCGCTGTCATCAACACACCTTCCTTCAAGGCTGATGTCCCCGAAGGCGACAGTCCCAAGGCTCTGGCTACAGAACCTTCTTCTGTCCCTCCAAAGCAGGAGGAGCTTCCTGCTCCCGAGGTCGCAGTCAAGAAGCAGGAGGAGGATAAGGCTGAGGACAGCACGGATCGGGAACATGATATTTATGCTGAGGCTGCATTGCAGTGTAAATTTTCTCCTCCCTTACTATATTTTTGAGTGGATACTGATGAGTTTATAGGCAGCATCGATAATAAAGAGGAGTGTATGATGTGCAGTGGTTAGATGATTCGTCCTTCTGATGACACGTGTGCATAGATGAGGTAATCGGGATGCTTTTGAAAAGAAGTTCTTCGTTTCGACTGATGATGGATGGATACATGGTAGCATGCTCAGCTCGCGCTTTGTCGTTGTATTTTTTGTGGTTGGCCTACTTTTTTTCACTTTTCTTTTGATATTATGATGCTATGCGTGTAGGCGGGTGGTCGGGCGTTGGATTGATTGATGGATTATGGATACCTTACAACAATCATTTGGTGATATTGGTTTTTGTATTCTTGAAGCGAATGAATGATGGGTGGCCTGAATTGGATGCTATGAAATGGCATGGGACGGAAGGATGGATGGATGGATGAATCAATGCATGTGGTATATGGTAGTTAGGTAGCCTAGCTCTTTTGATGTTTTTTGAGCAATGAGGATGGGATTTTTACATGAGTTTGTTCTGTATTTGGGTGATGTTTGAAATTGAGATTTGAGGTTAGTGAATAGGGTTATATCGTGGCTATAGTAAGCAATTATTCTTCAATGTGTAGCGTCTTCTAATATGAGGCTTTAAGACACAAATATAGATATCTAATATTTACCCTAAAATCAGAGACACAAATCAAAATGAATCAGTTAAGAAAGAGCGTGCCCTTGATTGTTTCTAAGTCTAAATACTATCGCCAGAATTTGACAGCGCTAGAGGGCGCCAGATTTCACAAGCGAACAAGAGTAGGACAACCGGGACAAAGGTAGGAAACCATTAGTTTTTCACGTCTTCTCACTTCGCGTAAGTATAAAGAACAAAACAAACTATTCCAAGTGATTTGAACATCTGGATTAATACCAATTCCACTAGCCAAAAGTGTTTGAATGAAGTGAAGTGCCTTCGCACTCTTGTCACGAACAGCCACTCAAGTACATGCGCTACCCTATTGACAACAACATAACCCTTCCATCTCTAGAAAAAGCAAATGCAACCATACACCAAGAGAGCGATAATTCATCAAGTCCCCAAGCCTTCTAATCGCCCAATTCAACTTCAAAGTCTCAAAAACAAGCACAGTATTTCTTGAAACACTGTGGCGATTGACCCTTTTTCCCAGCGCACATATCCTGTGGACAATCGCTCCATTTTTCACAAGATGGATCGTTTGGAGCCTCAGGGAGATTTGGTGGAGGAACTGGTTGTGTTTGTACTGGAGCGGGAGGTGATGGTGGTGCTGGAATAGGGGCAATTGTTGTGGGGACTGGTGGAGGTGGTGTTGTCTCGCTTAGCGAGGTTGAAATGGGCGAGGGTGTTGGTTCTCTTGGATTACCTAATCCATGGTGGGGTACGAACCCGTCTGGAAGTTTGCTACTGCTGAAAGTGTCTCCTACGATTGAAGATGCTGGAGTTGGCTCTGATGGATCGCCCAATTTATGATGAGGTACAAATCCGTCTGGAAGTTTGCTGCTCAATGATGTGGAGAGGGTGCCGCTAGTCGTATCAGGGGTTACCACTGATGAAACTTCTGATGTTGACGATGAGATTGAAGTGCTCAGTTGAGATGTGACGCTAGTAGATACATTGAAATCTGCAGGCCGAGTTGTATCTTTCGTCGTGCTTTGAAATGAAGTATCTCGCGTTTCTGTCGGAAAGAATGAAGCAGATTGATCATCACTAGAGGAAGGTTCAGATGGCGATTCCGGTGCCAGACAAACAGGAGAACCCTCTTCGCGTTTAAAAGGAGGAACGTTTGGACCCCCGAAAGCAAACATCCCAGTTTTTAGCTGTGGGATTTCCCCATTGTAGGCGACATTGACAGGACAATCCGCCGTGTTCCATGCGGAACGCTTGATGGCTTTTCTTACAACGTAGTCTTTGACGACCTTTGCAACCTCATACCCAAATGCATTAGTACCTTGAATTAGTTCCTCCATTCAGTCTGCGTGTCCGGGAGTAGCCATGAAGTATGCAACTAAACCAGCTACACTTGCCGTCGCTAAAGCCTCTGTTAGATGAAAAGCTCTAGATTTGGATGATTGAACTGATAAAAAAAGTCCCCTCGTGTTTTCTTTTTGGTTTGAGGGGGGTGGGAGAATGAAGTGAAGTCCATATTGGACTCTTCCTCGGCGCCTGCCAGCAAAATGTAAGAGACATAGTCGTTACTCTGTACACACCTCTCTTAGAATAAAATTATTCCAAAAACGTCGTACAACTAAAATAGTTATATAAAGAGCTTTAATAATTGTTAACTCTTACTTTTCACTGGCCTAGGTATCCTAAGACAAGTATCTTATTTGTGCTACAAGTTTAGTATAATAGAGTTTTATATAGTGTGTACAGAGTAACGACCATGCATCTTACAATTGTCTCATAATTATGGGGCATACTGGGAGTTGAATATCGAGAAGAATTCAAACTTTGAGATTTTACTTACCAGGTGATGAGCCAACGTTAACCTGAGATTCGTGGCCTAAAGTATTGCCTGCACCGCCGGGTAATAATGAATACACCCCCTCGTTTGAAGCACATGTTGCAGGTGCACCTAGAGCATACACATCAATCTTCGCCTCCGGCCACAAGGGGTTCGGCTTGTATCTAAAGTCCAGCATTTAGCTTCTGTCAAAATGATGGGAATGAGTCTCACGGTTGAATTGGCAGACGATTACCCCTCTCATTGACAGCCCCAACCACAATAAGAGGTAAAACATCATTCCAAATCGCAGGAACATGGCGAATGATCTTTGTGTCGGCTCCAGAATTCTCCGCGATACCGTAATTTCCGCCGGAAACCACGAAAGAGGAGCCCATGTTTGTAATTCTTTGCATGATTTCAAATAGAGGAAAGAGTGTATCACCATACTTTGGCAAATCATCTAAATTGCTTCGTGCATCGTTGTTGGTTAGCGATATGTATAAGCTTATCACTGATATGATACGGGCATCTCTCTCTTGTATATCAGCCCAAACTAATTTCAGGGCGTCCACGATGACCCAGAGTCTGGATCCAGGCGATTTACCGGCTTGCTGCTCCTGAGGGGTTTGTACTGATTTAGGCAAACGAACAATGGTTATTGCAGCTTTTTTGGAGACACCGAAGGGCTCTCCCGCTGCTTTTGAAGCTATACAGGTTCCATGCAAAGTGGGGTTGTGATTATTCCTGACCTTTTGAAAGTCAAAGCCACTTTGACCTTGGAGAAAGTTTTCCCCAGGAAAGAGCCAAGCTGGCTCTGAGACTAAACTGTGATAAGCCTATTGGATTAGTTAGTAACAGGGCAACTTTTGAAGTATGGAGCAATACTGGTGTAGAAGTGTCCATTCCTGAATCCAGAATGTATATCCTGGCATAGTCTGGAACTTCGCTTCGATATGCGTAATTATTGACGTCTGATAGTTGCACCTTATCCGGGAGGGAGATAGGTTTCAAATCTTCTGCAACACCGTCGGGGCTAAACTCAGTTTGCGTTAATGGTACAACAGGAACTATTCTCTTTCTCACTCCCCCCTTTTCTTCAAAGTTGGATTCTCTTCTTTGGGTTATGAAGTCATATGAGATTGTGAGGCCGTCGTCGAAATAATCATTTGAATCGGCTCTCACAGCACCAACCTGAACTTTTTTAGTACCAGCACTCGCACATTTTAATATGGTAATCCTTACAGCCGGATCTTGCTTATATTCTTCAGCTTGCTCAGGTGTGAGGTACTGCCTCCAACAAATGACGACCTTCGCCATTTCAGATTGAGCGATGTACAGGGTCTCTGGCTTCGTATCATTTTTTAGCCTCTCAGTAAATGCCGTTGTAACTTCCCAAGGCACATCTTGCCTTGCATGTATATCATAAATTGCCAATGTCGGGCCTGGCGATGCTACAGAAGAGGTCGTCGTAATAGCAGTCGAGGAGGGAGGTGCTGAACATCCAGTCACATCCGAACATATGCTGGTGGTGATCTTTTCTGTTGTAGACGCTGAACTATCGACCTTCTCGGTGACAAATGTTGAATAGACCGGTGCTGTAACGCTTTTGCATTCTTCAGGTTGATTGCTGGTGGTTGCTGTGCCTTCGGAGGTTGCTGAGCAACCTTTAATATCTGAGCAAGTCGATGAAGTCATTGTGGCGGTTGTAGAGCCTCTAGAGTCGAGCTGGGCAGTCACGAAGGTAGTACAGCTTGGAACAGTGATATTTTCACACTCATCCGTGTCCTCTTCGTTTGGTTCTGGCTCGGTGATGGGGGGAGTAGGCGGAGGTGGATTATGACCTTTGATTGTCGGTGGTTTTTTGCAACTTCTAATGAGAGGAATTGGAATGCAAGGGAACTATAGCAGAGTCAGTTCTTGCATCCCTATTGATATTAACGGGATATATCTAACTTACGTGAAAGCGAGGAAGTTTGGGAAATCCAGGCAGTCGAAAGCTAATATTTGGTATTGGTGGAAGCTTAAGGAGAATGAGGACGATATTTGGTCCACACTTGGGACAAATTATTACGGGGACAAGAGTTGGATGACCTTTATCATCCGTTGTTGTAATGACGGTGTTCTGAGTTATTTCTGTTCGAGTCTCTGTGAGGACGTTAACTCCCGGTACTGTTGTTATACTGTTGGTGACTGGGGCTTCTTCGAGGCACAGCGAATGAAATGGAGTCACCCCGCAGATCGTAAGCGGGTTGGGTTCCGCAGTAGCAATTGGTGTTGGGAATACTGGTGGCTGAGGGCAAAGTGGATCGAATGCCCAATCCGAACAATATTCGGCAGGCAGCAGTTCTTCTGGATCTTGGGGAGGAAGACATGCTTGCTGCAATATGAAAATGCATGTCTAGAGACAAATTGTTAGTGCTGAGATTTGGCCGAATGTATTCATGAAGATGAGGTTCACAAACCATGCTTGGAGAATTGTCAGGGTGTATGATTAGATTGTCTGCGAGGAGAGAAGAGTTCTCCAAGCAGAAGTGCTACTTATCTATCTACAGTGCCTTGTTTCCCGAAATCTACCCGACACCAAGCCTCGAATTCACTGAATCAAATCTGTTACATAAGGTCCCTCTTTCCTACACCTTTTCTCGTTCCGCAAAAGCTCTCAACCGTTCGTTCTTTGTCGGTTTAGGCTTATTAGGGAATCTAGTCTCGAAGGTACGTATCGAGGCTACGCTATAGATAACATTGACCAATGGCTCCCATGAGTTCTCCTCTTGGCTATAACCTCGCCATCTTATCAGATATTCGAATTTTCTACCCTTCCTCCTCGAGTCTACTATCTCCTCCACTGCCCATAGAGCATGTCCTCCATCGTCTACTGTCACAGGTGGAGGTGCTAGGTTGACTTGCCCTGGCATCGGGACGCCGGCGGCGGGGCGTAGCAAATTAGTGTGGAAAACCGGGTGGATGGACTGTAATTCGTAGGGAAGCTCCAGCTTATAGGAGTGGGAGTTCATGATTTGAAGTACTCGGTAGGGGCCAATGTACTTGGCGTCGAATTTCGGTATAGGTCTCGCTGACTTGATATTCCTTGTGCTTAACATAACCATGTCACCTACTCTGTACGCTGGGGCTGGTGATCGGTTCGCATTCGCAGATTCCTCCATACGGTCCCTCGTAGTAAGCAAATTAGTACGTAAGTAGCCCAAGATCTCCTCCATCTTCCGAGCAAAAGTTCTTCCCGCAAGAGCGTTCTGAGAGGTGAGCGTAGGTGATCGAGGTGGCCCAAAACTCATGCGAGGATGATAACCGTTGTTTGCAAAGAACGGAGATATGCCAGTTGCAGAGCTGACTACGTTTCTCATAGCAAACTCGGCTAAGGGTAGGAATTGAACCCAATCTGTCTGGGCGAAGTCGATGTACTGACGTAGGTACTTGGAAATGGATTTGTTAGCGACTTCGGTCTGGCCATCAGTTTCTGGGTGGTATGCAGTAGAGAGATCAACTCGAACCCGTAGTACTTCGCAGACGGATTTCCAAAAGTCTGAGAGGAATAAGGAACCCCGGTCAGAGACGATAGTGTCTGGTAGTCCATGAAGCTTCCAGACGTCTCGCACGAATAAGCGAGCCAGCTCGGCTGCATTCATATCCTTGTTGCATGGTGTAATGTGGCAATCCTTAGTGAGCCTATCTGTAACGACCATAATCTGGTCAAATCCATCGACCAACAGAATAGGGCCCATAAAGTCGACTGATAAGTCTCTCCATCTTTGAAGCGGTATTGGGAGTGATTTTAAAGTGCCCTGGTATCGTAGCTGGGAGTACTTGTTCCGAAGACAGTTTGTACAGGCTCTACAAAATTGGGTGATATCGCGGTAAAGTTTCGGCCACCAATAATGTCTACACATGAGCTCGAATAGTTTGTTCTTGCCTGGGTGACCGCTCTCGACCGAGTCGTGGGCTCTTTGGAGAAGCCATACTCGTAGTTCTGTATCTGGGACATATAGCCTGTCCCGAAAGTATAGCCTGCCGTCGTCGATCCGACACTCGGACAATGCGACTTCTTTGGAGTGTGGTGTGCGGTCTTCTCTGTTCATTTCCTTAGAAGTCTTCTTCCAGAAAGGGTCTTCCTTGTACCCCTCCTCTAACATCCTAGTCAAGATATGGTCGTCGGATTCAGTTCCCTGCTCGTCTGGTTCTGGTTCTGGTTCCTCTTGTTCAGTGGGTCGTTCTTCCTCGTTTAGAGGTGCTAAGCGAATGGCAGGGTCTAAATTTTGAGGTTTGAGAAGTGACTGTTGTTGGTATATAATCCGAGGGTCGTCGTCTCGGCTCGGGAGGTCTTGGGATCGACGAGTAAGTGAGTCGGACTTGGTGTTCTTCTTACCAGGTACAGGTTTAATAACAAAGTCGAATTCAGAGAGAAACTCGCTCCACCGGACTTGACGGCGGGTCAGTTGCTTAGTAGTCATAAAGTACTTCAAGTTGGAGTGATCAGTGATTACTGACACAGGGTACGCGGTTCCCACAAGTTCGGAGCGCCAGGACTCGAAGGAACGTACTATGGCAAGTAGTTCCTTGTCATAGATTTCGTAATTGCATTCCGCGGGGTCGAGGACTTTTGACATAAAGGCAACAGGGTAGAGAACTCCATCGTGGTATTGGGACAAGATGCCGGCCGAGACGTAGTCGGAGGAGTCACATTCGACAATGACTTCCTTCTCTGGGTCGAAGTGCTTAAGTGTTGGTGCAGAAGTGAATGCTTGCTTAAGTGCTTGAAACGATTTATCACAAGTCGAGGTCCATTCCCACCTTACGCCTCTCTTAGATAGTAAATTCAATGGTTTAACTAACCTCGAGAAATCCTTAACAAAGCGCCGGTAGAAGTTCGAGAAGCCAAGGAACGCCTGGAGGTCTTTGAGGTGAGCTGGCCTAGACCAGTTCGTGATAGCCGAGGTCTTCTCAGGGTCCATTCTCACTCCATCCGTTGATATAATCATGCCTAGATAGGTGACTTCCTGGACTTCGAACTGGCACTTCTTAATGTCCAGCTGGAAGCCGGCTTTTTCGAGAGCCTCGAACACTTGTTCGACCTGCTTACGATGCGAGGTCAAGTCGTCTGAATAGATGAGTATATCGTCTATGTAGGCAGTGCAAAAGATATCCAGGAACGGGCGGAGTACTTCGTTAATCCGGGCTTGCCAGGTTGCTGGAGCGTTCGTAAGGCCAAATGGCATGACTAGAGATTCGAAGAGGCCGTAGCGAGTATTGAAAGCTGTTAGCCATTCGTCCCCCTCCTTAATTCGTATGTGGTTAAATGCTGCAATGACATCGACTTTGGTGAAGTACCTTGCTTTGCTGAGTCGTTGGAGTGTCTCTTGGATTCGGGGTATCGGATACCGGTTTTTGATCGTAATATCGTTTAGTGCTCGGTAATCCACGCAAAAGCGTAGTCCTCCACCAGGCTTCTTTGCGAAAAGTACTGGGGAGGCAGCCGGGGATTTACTTGCTCGAATAAACCCCTTCTTCAGCTGTTCGTCGAGGTACTTACGTAAGACCTCTAACTCTGGGATAGACATATTATATAGAGGTCCATGGGGAGGAGATGAACCAGGCTTCAATTCAATCTTCAGGTCGCAGTCTCGATGTGGGGGTAGCGTATCAGCTTTCTGACGGTTAAATAACCGAGATGACCACTTCTTCAAGTGTGGAGGGAGCAAAGTCTCAGGATCAACGTGCTCTCCAGGGTTGTTGTACTTTGCGAGTGCCTTCTGGATGTCGTCTAGAGAGGCCCCGCAGAGGTAGAGTTCAGCAGCCATTTGGCGAGAATCGGTGGTTTTGTGCTGGAAGTCGTCCTGAATCAGTAACTCCTTTTCCATGCGCTTCTGGCCCGAGAGGCCATCGTCCATCCGAATGCTGTACAAGGTGTCGGGAGTAGAAGGGCTCGCGCCTAACTCCTCTAACCTTTTGTCTATTTCAAAAACAGATAGAGAGAACACTTCAACGCCGTGAGTAGATGCCAGCCGGTTGAAGGAGGCAGCGCTGACTTTCAGGGGCTTAGGGATATGTGAAACGTCGTGACGAGTGCATTTCACTTGAACCGAATCCAACCTCCTAGGCATACAGTGTCCTCTACAGTACGTAGAGCCAAAAACGATACTGTGGTTCGTCCAGTCAATTTGAGGGTTGTGGAGAGCGAGCCACGGGTGTCCTATGATGATGTTGTGGGAGGCGAGTTTAGTAACATGGAAGCGTTGTTGACGTTCTACATGCTTCCCGACAATCATGTCCAAGATAACTATATGAGTAACATCACCTGCTGAAGAAGGTCTCCCGTCCGCGATGCGGAGACGACGAGGCCGAGCGAGTGGGACGAATTCAAAACCACAATTTTGCGCATAATCGGAATCAATGAAATATTGAGCTGAAGCCCCAGAGTCGAGCATAAAGTAAGTAGTAGAAGTTATGTGTTTGGTATTGCCTTTCTGTACTACCTTACAAGGAACCTCCATCGTACTTTTCTGCCTTTCCTCTAGAGATGATATCTTCAGGACCTTCTTCCGAAGACGTCTCTGACGGCGACTTTCGTCAGAGACTAGACTTTTCCCGCTTCCTTCGCAGCTTTCGTCGACTCTCGAGCCTCAAGCTTGGGACATCCAGTGGTGCCAATATTGTGGTCGGGGCTATCGCAATAGTGGCAA